TACGGTCCTTCCCATACAGGTGACAGCCTTGGAAAACCTACAGGACAGTTCTACTCCGTCCTTAGGGTCACTGGGAGTTAGATCCAACTCCATGGCGCACACAGTTCCTATCACCACCGACTGAGAATACTTGGAACCTGATTTCAAATTCTTTTTGTGTGTGGGGACAAAAATTTTTTAAAGTCACTCTACCGGGTGCTCGTACAGCTCCTATCACAATCCATCCATCCATCCATCCATCCATCCATCCATCCATCCATCCATCCATCCATCCATCCATCCATCCATCCATCCATCCATTGTGTCAAGCACACTTGTACCTCTACTGCCATCCTCCTCCTCAAAATGATGATGAGCCCTTGATTTAGAATTCTTATTGCAACAGGCAGCAATGGCTCAAAATCGTCCATTGGCCAATATTAAAAGCCCCTTAATAGGGAAAAGATTGATCACCAATAAACTAAATACTGCAGATACTAGAAAAGAAAGAGGAAACAAGTTTAAAAGAACCACCTATCCGATAAGAACGTTTTCAGGAATATTAGGTCTCATCACAGGATTGTATGAATTATACACGTTCCTTTGGTCTTCGCAAGTCCCCCACACAGGTAACCAGGACTCTTGTAGCCATTCAGCCTCTAAACAACCAACCAAGCAGCAACATAAACATGTAACAGTCCCTCCTTTGTCTCTTTTTTAATAAATTGATTTAAATGTTTATGACATTTTAATGATATTGAGAAAGTATAGATTCAAATCTAACTGTAAGCAGTGTGGTCTTCAACAAATCACTTAAATGCTCCAATCTCCCCTGTCTTTAAGGATCTAATTGGGCTGATAGCAGGTCCCTGTGACAAAGGCGGGTTCTATGAAAGATCCAGGTAAAAGTAATGAAGAGGTATTTAAGGATATATCTAGTGGTTAAGGAGAGAGAAAGCGTTTCAAGTCCTCTTAATTATGCATGTGTGTAAAAGCTTAGAAGGAAACTAAAGTTCAAATGATAAGTCACAGTACCAAAATAATTTAGACTTCCAGTTGTTAAATATACTAAGTCCAAGTGGAATTCCTGGGTGAAGAGCCCACATTTATGATTCTGGGGGAAATGTAAAAATAGTGCACTAAACAAATACTATGATCGAGGGACTACATTTTAGATTTGCGATAGGTAGCTCTCGAGTAAATGTATACGCTTTAGTATGTTTGTTTTCAAGTAAATCTTCCAAGAAAAGATGCCTGTATTTTATAAGCACCATCTTTTACATGAGGCTGGATTATTTGCTGTTTTCTATTGAATCAGTCAGGAGTTCTAGTCCTATTTATTTTCATTGTTAGAGTTTATTTTGTTTTTTTTTAAAAATCTTAGTTTAAGATGGTTATGTGATTCTGTTCAGATAAACCGATATTTAGGGCTCATGATTAATATTCTTGAAAAAATAATATAATTATGATTTGCATATAAATTTTACACAAAAGCACTGAGGAGTACCAGTATTTTTCTTGATACCTAAAGTAAAAATGTCCCTTTTTCATTGCAACCTGTCTTATTGGAGCCCCTCTTTTTATGGTTTATAGTAGGCACTCAATAGCTCTAAGTGACTTCATCCATAATTCAAAACGGTGGGCGCCGTGGCAATATACTGAGAAGGAGGGCTTTGAAAGTGACAGCAATCTAAAAGGGTAAGTGTCCCCTTTCTAAAACAGCATGCATTTAGTGCACAGAACAAATTCCTAGAGAAATGGAAATTCCACTTCTTAAGAAGCCAGGTCCTCCCCTCCTATGAAAATTAAAGCCTTTCCCTTGGGGACCGAAAAGGTTTCTTCTCAATGTGAACACTCAATATCCACTACAAGTACCTGCCCATTCACTCATAAACACCCTCCCTCGCCCCTCCCCCAACACAGGCAGGGACAGGGGTTAAAAAGCTCACAGAAAAACTAGAGTAAACAAGATTGGAATTTTGTTGGCAAAGTTTTTGAAAGTCCTTTGTATACACAAACACACACGAGGGGGCTTCAAAAAGTTTATGAAAAAGTCCCATTCTATTTAATTTCATTTTTCTTTGAACGCTTTGAAGCTGCCAGGTAAGTGTATATATATGTGTGTGTGTGTAGATATATAAGTTTGGGGATAAATATGTTTGGTCATATATATGGCATATGCATATGTATATATAACCAAACTGATTGCCATCAAGCCCCTTCTGACTCATATCAACTCTATAGGGTAGGGCAGAACTTCTCTTTGAGGGGTGGGGGTGGAAATACACACAAACACGCCAAAACAAAACAAACTCATCCCCATCAAGTTGATTCTAATTCAGGGGCAACCTGAGTAGAACTGGCCCCGTGAGTTTTTGAAACGATAACTCTTTACACTCGTCGAAAGCCACCTCTGATTTTCTGTGGAACCACTGGTGCTTTCGAACTGCTGATCTTGTGGCTAGCAGGCCAGTGTGTAACCCCTACAGCACCAGGGCTCCTTAGATATAAGAACTTATATAAGATATAAGTTCAAGGGAGTTTTCCCATGAACTCTTTGGCATCCTTCCTATTTGTGTATGGGCATGTATTTCAGTGCAGATGTTTTTTAAGAGTGCACTACTGTTCTACCTCAATAATTTTTAATAGCAGGTCATGGAAAAAAAAATTTTTTAAGAATTTTGAGGTGTTCTCTAAAGAACATTTTCCCCACAGTTTCCAAGAAAGATTCAGGAATTAGGGCAATTTTCAAGGTCAAGATGGTCCTGAAAAATAGAGATTGAAAATCTGGATCCCCAAGGTGAAGTCCATGTCAACACTTGGACACTTCTTATTTCTCAGAGTGAAGAGGGAACGTTTGCTATGACTCACTTTTACAATGGAAGCGAGAGCAATGGTAAAACCTGGCCCCTCCACTGGGGTTTGAATTGTGTTACCGTTGCTGTCTCAAAGAATACCATAACATCTTACCATTCGGCTTTAAATATGCTTGTTGGAGTGGTTTCACTGAGCATAAGAAGCCAGGCAAGCCCCCAGGGGAGTCCATTCTCCCCTATGTGCTCCAGAGCGATGATCTCCTGGAGATGGATTTCAGGGACACCCCCACTCACTCACTGCCATTGAGTTGATTCTGACAGTGACCCTATAGGCCAGGGTAGAACTGCCTCGGTGGGTTTCCATCTTTACAGGCGTAGAAAGCCTCCTCTTTCTACCACAGCAGGGTGAGTGGTTTAAAACTGCAGACCTCATGGGAGCATGCTCACCAAGTAACCCACTAGGCCACCAGGCCACCAGCATGCCTCGTGGAGGCAAGGATGGTGAGATTTTTCTCACGTTCTTAGGGCATAATGTCAAGACAGGCCAGTGGCTGCCACAATGGGCTTGCCTATTGAACAAGTATGAGGCTGCCACAGGGCCTGGAGGTGTTTTATTCTGTTGTCGCAGGGACACTCTGAGTTGGAACTGACTCGATGGAACCTAACAACAGAATCAACACACGTTCCAAACACAAGCGCACACATGCAGAATCTGACATGTCTATCCACAGTGGTTCCAGATTCAGACAGATCTTTAGGGCAGAGTTTCAAACTGGCTCTTTCTGGTCAGTTCCCTTGCAGAGAATTGGATTTTAATTGATTCCCAGGTGAAACTTACATAGACATTATATGTGTGTATAATGAGATGCCTATAAACACATAATAATGTGGATTCTGATTCAATTTATCTAGAGCGGAAATGCAGATTCTCAGCAAATGGCTCACCTGAAATGAACCAGTCTAAAGTGCTGATTTAGGAGATTCTATTTGTATTTTCCTTTTAGTGCTTTATTTAGCTGCATATAGGGGATCCTATCTATGCCCTGGTGCCATTATGGTTATGCTGGGCTGCTAACTGCAAGGTCAGCAGTTTGAAACATGGTGCTTTGATTTCCATAGAGAGCTATAGTCTCAAAGGCCAACAGGGACCTTTCTACTGTGTCCTGTGATGTCACTTAGTGTCAGAATTGGCTCATTGCCGGTGAGTTTGGTTTTATCTACTCCCCGCTGGCACAGAGGGTTATGCAATGTGCTATTAACTGAAAAGCCAGCAGTTGGAACCCACCAGAGGCTCCAGGGGAGAAAGACGAAGCTTTCTGTTTTCATAAAGATTTACAGCTTTGGAACTCACATGGGGCAGTTCTAGTCTTTTTGATAGAGTTGCTCCAAGTGGGAATCAAGTCAATAGCACGGAGTGCATGCGCGCACACGCGTGTTTGCATTAATCCAATGGCTATGGGTGACACCTCTGGGAACACCGATTGGAACTGAATCCTGACTGCCCAAGGCGAGCATCCCTAGACCCGTTGCCCGTGCTGGAGCAGGAGAGCACCAGACCACTCCTGCTACCCAACAGCCCGCTCTCCACTTCATATGCTCAAGCTCTGCCCACCTCTACTCTACCAAATACTTCTTTAATATTTAGGTTTGGACCAAAGGAAAAGAAAGCATGATGCAGCTCTTCATTTCCAGGGACTGGCATAAGCTGTGCACGAATATAAGAACTGGGCGGCTGTGCGTCACAACACAGCGGAACTTCACAGCAGCAACATAAGCTGGTGAGCATCCCTGCATTCCTTTGCTCCCTACTAAACAGAAGGTGGGGACCACCATGCTTCCACAGACACAGTAAGATACATAGCCCCTGACAGTTTGATGTCAACATACATCACTCCATGCTATCAGTCTTTCCACTTCACCGATGCAATCCCCATGCCTATTCCCATTGGATGAGAAAATTCAGATCAAGCAGCTAACCTTTCCAACACTCAGGGGACCCAGGGATCTGTGTAAAATCTTAAGGTCCCAAATCAACAACAACAACAGCAAATCACAAAACCCATGCAAAAGCAACCCTTGAGTAGTCAGTCAGCCAGTGGTAACAATGTAATCATGTAATGTAAAAAGGAACAAGGGCACACCACGTCCTGTTTACAATATCTCTTTAGACATCACGGTAGGGGACAGAGAAAGGCTGTGACCCACCTGGGATCCTTCTGAATGCTATCAATAGACGGAGACTTGGCCAAGGTGCCTTCGGGTGGGAGGGCTGGGCCGGATTTGCTGTATGGAGACTCCACGGAGGGACAATACTGCAGTTGTCGGTAGGGGTCTGCGTAATTGGAGGCCGGGCCTGCAGCATAGCTGGCTCTCTGGAAGGTGGCGGCGGCGGCGTTCTGTGGGCCATGCTGGCTGCCAGTGCGCTGCAAGGGGCCGGAGTCGACACCAGGGGAGGATGGGGCTAGGGCAGGAAAGTAGGGACAAAGTAACCAATTGAGGACCTGCTCGCAGAAACGGTTAACCAGGTCTAGGCAAGCGGGAAGATTATACACACAAGAGAACAGGGGTGTGACAGGGCAAACAGACAATAATCCGTCATATTGGAACCAGTATCTCCAATGTCATCCTACAAAATAGACATTCACATGCGCTCTCTCGGGATGAACACCTTGAAAGACAGAGGCGGACCAGCATCTGCTCTGGGAATGTGGCTGCCCAGCATCCTCAACCTGGTAACCGACAAAACTCAGACCCAGAACAAAGAGATTGTCTTTGATTGATTGATTTTTTAAAAAAAAATAAGAAATCACATCGAACAGTTAGCTCTTTATGGTTCCCACTTGGGAACATTCAGAAAATGTTTAGGTGGTGACGCAGTAACTTGATTCAAAAATCTCAAAAACCCATTGCCCCTGAGTGGATGGCAACTCCCAGGGACCCTCTAGGCCAGGGTAGAGCTGCTCTGTGAGTTTGCAAGACTATAACTCTTGATGGGAATAGATAGCCTCATCTTTCTTCGACAGAGCAGCTGGAGGGTTTGAACTTCGGACCCTAGGGCTAGCAGCCCAATGTTTAAACCACCATGCCCCCAGGGTTCCTTCACTAACCAGTGGAGGACGTAAAAGCAACTTAGGCATGTGCATATTCTTCCTGAAGAGAAAGAAACAAGGAGGAGTGAGACACGGAGTGCATGTGTGCAGTGGGGAAGACGGGCTCCTCTTTCCAGATTTGGTTCAAAAGCATGGGAAGCAGGGATGCTTCGCACCCTGGGAAACCAGGCCCTCACGGCTTTTCCTGTGCATCTCTTAGAACTCAAGCTGCCGTACTAGCAAATGGAACCCGTGAGGGGCAGGTATGTCAGAGAAAGAGATGAAAATCAAGCCCAATACAACAGTGGCCTCACAGGCAGTTTGAGTCCGGGCACTTGCATCTTTCCTATTGGCCTAAGTGGTCCAGATGTTTGGAGAACCTTGTATTCCAGTTACTACACTCCACTTGCCCATTCCCATCTCAATTCCTATGTTTCCCTTTCAGGATTCCTTTCACTTCATCTCATCTCATTAATTCTATCTCGATCTCAGAACACTTTGACTTCTGAGGTTTAATTGACACCCAATGAAACCAGCATCTTTGATGTGATGAGATTGTGACTAGTTACTAAATGCTCAAAAAACAAAATAAAACTCAACCTCACTGCCAGTAGGTTGATGCCGACTCACAGCGGCCCTACAGGACAAGGGAGAATGCCCCCTGTGGGTTTCTGAGACTGTATATGTTTACGGGAGTAGAAAAACCCATCTTTGTTCCAAGGAGCAGTTGGTGGTTTTGAACTGCTGACCTTGCAGTTAGCAAGATAACTCATCACCCTTGCACCATCAGGTCTCTAAGAGTCATTAGCAATTATCCATATTCAACATGGGGGTTACTTTTGAGCTTTCTGAATCCATATACCCAGAGAACAGTTCATGTTCGGAAATGACCATTTCTACCAAGAGAGCCTTATGAGTTAGTGAGTTCTGATAGTGAATAGTCCCCGACTTATGACATATTCAAATTAACAAGAGCCACTTCCAACAGTCTGTTTCCGTACATCTGATCATTAGGGTAACGGTGAGTCGGAATTGACCCAGCGACAGTGGACTTTATTGTTAGTGATAAAAGGTGGCTTCAGGAAGCTTGTGGAAAAATTCTATTAAATTTTGATTTTACTTTCTCATAAACTTTTTAATGTCCCCTTGTGGGTAGCCCTAAATACAAAACAAAACCCCCCAAAAGTGGAGTTATAAAGAATACGATAATGAACACTTTAAAAAGAAAGAGGGGTGGGGGTACTGGACTTACATCAGAGCTGAGTTATGATGGAGTGGTAGACAGTTTGGGCATTATCAATCAGCGCCTACAAGGCTGACCCGAGTCTGTCTTTGAAAACAAGGAAGAGCCAAGCTTATCTTCTCGCATAAAGGTAACAAAAGCAAAGAAAGGAACAGCATGGAGGAAAAAGAATGGCTAAAGGAAGTGAAGGGAATTGTACTGAAAGGACACGCACGTGCCAGGGCACGGAGGAATATGTTCTAAGATGTTGCTGAGAATTGATGTGGTTGTTCAGAGACCTCCTCTTCCTTTCTGAGAACTTTCAGTCTTCAGCTCACGCTGAGACAATGTGAGGATGCGAAGCACCGTCGCAGGAGCAAAACTTCAAAGGGAGCTCGGAAAGACACTCTGACTGAAAGTGTGTGTACACCACAAGCCTAGCGCTACCCTAATGCATGAATTTTCCAAACAATTGCTTTACAGCAGTGGTTCTCAACCTTCCTAATGTCGCGACCCTTTAACACAGATCCACATGTTGTGGTGAGCCCACCAACCATAAAAAATATTTCGTTGCTACTTCACTATCATTTTGCTGCTGTTATGCATTGGGCAACCCCTGTGAAAGGGTCGTTTGACCCCCAAAGGGGTCATGACCCACAGATTGAGAACCGCTGCTTTAGAGCAATAAACTTTAACTGCACAGGGGAATAAACATTACTAAACCTGCACGCAATTACCCACAAAAAAAGAACAATCAACCACCAAGGGGTTGTCTTCTAGTCCAATCTGACTCCTAACGACCCTTTGGAGCAGCGCAGGGCTGCCCCACGGGGTCTGCAGGGCTGGATCTCGATGGAAGCACACGGCCACATCTGAAGGCAATGGGTTGGGTTCGTGTCACTGACTTTTTGAGGACCCGTCGAGCACTTATTTTCTCCAAAAACACACGTATTACTATTAACAAGCTTTCAGTGAAAACACACACGGGACAATTTATAAACAAAGCACTTCGTAGGATGACAGGAATGGTTTTACAATTCAGGGGAGGTGAAAACGTGCTCTGGGAAGACTGATACAAAGGGGGGACCAGAATTTCATTTCTCGAAGAGGGAGGATAAGTAGCCAGCAGACCAGGGACAAACGCGGGAAAGGCACACATCTGACATTTCCATAGAGAGGGATTTCCCTGACCTGCGTCCTTCAGTTGACTCTGTGACCCTACAGGAGAGAATAGAATGCCCCATAGGATTACCGCGTCTGTAGCCATGATGGGAGCAGAACGCCTTTTTTTCCTTCCAGAGAGTGACCTTCCAACTTCCAACCTTTCCGTTAGCATCAGCCCTGAACTTCTAAGTCGTCTCCCTCTCACCCTGCCACTGAGTCTCTTCAGACTGAGGGCGACCTACAGGGCAAGCTAGAACGGCCCCTGTCGGTTTCCGAGACCGTCAATGTTTCCTGGAATAGAGAGCCTCATCTTCCTCCTGCAGAGCAGCTGGTGGTTTCAAACCGCTGACCTTGAAGATCGCAGCCCAGTGAGGAACCGCTATGTCACCAGGCTCCTGTTCTGGGTGAGCAGAACCCCTTGGGACTCGCCCTCCAGGAGCTTCTGTCAACGTTCAAGCTAGCTGAAAATAATTACAAGTATCAGAATGAAAATTTCTTTCTAGACAAACCTGTTCACTAGTAATGTCTTAAAATACAATTATTTCACAAGGAGGACAAACTGGCAGACATTAGGAAATAATGTCAAAGCCCAAACAGGTGCTTTTCTTAAAAACAACAAGACAGGTCATAGGAACAACCAAATTAACCACACACACACACACACACACACACACACACACACACATTCTCAAAAGAGCTCAAATTTGAATAAAGACTGTAACAATGGAGGTTTAAAGAAACAGGAGGGGGGAAAAAAAGAAGAGCTGTAAGAGTGATTTGGTCAAAAAGTGAAAATAGTGTGAAATTCAGTTAGCAGAAATAGAAAGGCAACATCTCAGTATAGCAACAGGAGGAAGAGATTTCATAACGTTGATAAATATTATTCGGCTCTTTTGTGCATAGGGTCTCTACGGGTCAGAACCGTTGCCGGGGAACCTAACAATGCAACATTTCTATTTGGACAGGTATTTACTCTGGACCCGTGATCCGCAGGGCCCAGGCCCAGGAAGAGGCCCTCCTCTTGGGAAAAGAGATGACTGGTAAACAAGAGGAAGGCCCTCAGTGAGATGGACTGACAGAGAGGCTGCAACAATGGGCTCAGACATCAGGAGTGTTGTGAGGAAGAGGTGGGATGGGGGGGGGTGTTGTTCTGTCATGCATGGGCTGAGTGTGAGCGAAAGCGGTGGTCATCTAACAGAAGTCACCTTTACTTTGACCTTCTGGGGGAAGGGGCATCTCCTGGAACATGGACACAGCTTGGCATCCACCCCAACAGGAGGTGCATTCCCACGCTGAGCTTTGGGTGTCCGAGCTAACTGAACTTTCTAACCCCTAGTGTCCTGGGATGCAAAAACAAGGGAGTAAGAGGGTCCCATTGGGTCTGTGCTTGGGTTAAATGTGTACAAAGTTTGAGATGCCTGATATATATATAAAGCTACACAGGTGAGCCATTGTTATGACTCCCATGAATAACAACGGCATACCATTAACAGGAACGGGAAGTGTGCACTCTGAATTCGGGTGGGAGCCCTGTGATTATGCAGTGGCCTCATTGCTCCTCTGTGGGATAGGTGTTCTTTTGTTTTACTTGCCTAGCTGCAAATCACCCTATGAGAGGATTTTGCAGATGAGGAAACTGAGGCACAGAGAGAGGAATAAAATACCCAGGTCAGTGAGTCACTGATGGAGTGAAGTCTCTGTCAATTGGCCCCCTACATCGACACTTACAAGCAACATGACAAATGGGACTGGGTTGTAAATCTCTCAAGTTCATAACGATTGAATTACTCAATACCTTGGGAATAATTCGGAAACCACAGAGAGGTCTACAAAGAGGAGAAATGTTGAAATGTATACTAACTGGGCGAAAAGGGGATGGGTTTATTAGAATTAGCAATCTCAGTATCATATTAGCAAAAAAAACAATGATTAAGCGAATGCATTCAATGATTGCTAACATTTCCCATTAAATCAAAATTAAAGAGC